GCCCAAGGCCATCTCCCCTCCTCCACAGCTTCTGGGAACACCCTTGGGAATGGAATTCCAGTTCTTGGCAACCTTCTGCGGTTCCATTAGGCAAATTCTCCGTGTCCCTCCTGCATTTTTAATCCAGGCGGTTGGGCAGAGCCAGTTGCTCTCAAAAGCAACGGGAAGACGATTCCGCAGGGAATCTAGGGCTATGATCTCATGGGATTGGGGAACATAAAGGTCCCAGTTGTGCAGTCGAACTGGTTCTGGCTGGGAGCCCCCAGCACGGGGAGGGGCAGAGCTTCCCCACGACTGACTCATGGCACATTTGGCTCCTTCCCTAGGGAAGGATCATGTGCTCCAGAGCGTGGCTTGGGTTATTATTTTTTTTTTTTTGGGATGTTGCCCTCTCTCCCCTCCTCCTTACAGCTCAGCTTGGAAGCAGCAGCTCGATCCAGCTCCAGGGGAGCTCAGTGAGTCCCAACCATCCCTCGTCTCTCCCAGTCCATCCCAAACTCTTCCCGGCTGTGATTAACCCTTTCTGGGATGACTGGAATTCTGCAGGAAGCACAAACCGGTGCGGCTGGATTTTTCCAGCGTGGTTTGAGGCTCAAGCCCTTCCTTTTTGTCCCAGCAAAAAATTAACTCCAGCCTCAGCCAAGCTTCGCTCCCATGGGAGCAGGGAGAAACCTGCGATTCCTGGCAGCTCCCATGGCCTAAAAGGCAGAACTCCAGGAACAGGGAACAGGTGAGGGATAGCTCAGTCGAATCCCTTGGGAATAAGGGCTGTGCCGGCTGAAATCCTGGAGCTGTTGGCTCATCCCAAAGCCTCCTGCAAATCCTGCAGCGGAGGTGAAACCAGGACACAGAACACACTCGGTCTTCCAGCTCCCCCTGACGAGTATTCCTGGTCTGTGTGTGCACATCTCCATCAGGATTTTACTGCTTGGATCGGGGGTTTATGGGATTTTGGGGGGGTTTAGCTAACTGTCCCTCCTCTCCTCCAAGCCTGGCACTGTGTCCATGGTGTTGCAGCTCGGGAATTGCTGCAGGAGCATCTTAGGGTGGAGCAGATTGTCCTGCAGGATCTGGGATCACCAGGGGGATGGGAATACTGGGCAGTACTGGGGGCACCAGGGACCTTTGTGGTACCCAATGCTTGGCAGTGTCCCTATTCCCACTGAGAGAAGGGGAAGGAAGGTTTGGAGGAGCAAAATGCAGACATAAAGGGGTGGGAAACTGGAATTTGCTGCTTTTCCAGGGGATTTGTGGAGGAGCTGGAGAGAAATGTTCTGCCTGGAGAGGAGGAGACTGAGGGGAGACCTCGAGGTCTGCAGTTTCTTCATGAGGGGACAGCACTGATCTCTCTGGGACCAATGACAGGAGCAGGGAATGACTGGAGATGTGCCAGGGGAGGGTTAGGTTGGATATCAGGACAAGGTTCTTCCCCCAGAGGTGTTTGGGCACTGAACAGCTCCCCAGGGCAGTGGGCACAGCCCCAAGGCTGACAGAGCTCCAGGAGTGTTTGGACAACACTCTCAGGCACAGGGTGGGATTTTGGGGTGTCCTGGGCAGGGCAGGAGTTGGATCAATGATCCTTGTGTGTCCCTTCCAGCTCAAGATATTCCATGACTCTAAAGGGAACATCTGTGTGGGGATAACAGGACTTGCTGGAGTGGCAGGAGAACAGGTCTGTGCTGAGGGGCAGTGGGATCTCCTGCTTGGACAGCCCTGCCAAGCTCCTGCTGGAGCTCCCTGCTGCAGGAGAGGCCTTTGGGAGAAGGGAATTCTGGTAAAACCAGGGATTTCTCCTGGCCAGCCCAACCGGCTCCCCCGGAGAGTCAGCACAGACCTGTCCCTGCAGGGAGTGGGATGGGTCCTCCCACCTTCCCTCCCTCCTGTGTTTCCAGTTTGGGCTCTGCAGGAGCAAACTGGGAGCTGGGGTCTTGGTGCTGGCTGTTCCAGGAGTTCCTCCAGGGAAAAGGCTCTCCCAGAGATCCCAGTCCAGGGAGCAGGGATGTGCTGTGGGAGAGGAGGGCAGGCAGCTCCTCAGGAACCTCTCAGGTGGTCCCAGCCTGGAATCCTGCTCAGCTCTGTGAGCCAGGGAATTTGAGTGCTGTTCCTGAAAGCTGCAGGAATTCCACTGGAGCTCTGGGCAGATTGACCTGAAGACAAACCCTGGAGGAAGGAGGTGCTGCAGGCTCTGGTCATCCCAGCACATCCCAGTGGGAGCCCAACAGCCCAGGTTGCCTCAGGAGCACGTGCTGGATGTTCTCTTCCTTGGGGACTGCTGGATTTGGATTCATCCTCTTAATTTCATGGATCAGGGAGTGCAGCTGAGCATGGGGGGATGGACGGGACAGAGGTGCACGATGCCATGGAGACACAGAATCCATGGAAAATCCTGATGTGCTGATCTTGCTTTTCTAATCCTATGTTTTTCCAGATGTTTCCTGCTGGGAATTGGCTCTAGGATGTTGGAAAACCGAGAGGAAGTAAGATCCTTTTGTTTCTGACACGGTTTTATTCCTGGCTGGGGCTTGGCAGATCTAGGGGTTGGCACCACTAGGTGGTCTGGGTTGACCTGAAAGCTGAGGAGGATCCATGGGGCAGAGCTGAGAGGCAGCTGGGGACAGGAATGGGAATGTTTGGAGCTGTCTGCACTGTCCCTGGGGAAGAAGAAGCAGGTGTGGAGGGGGATACCTGTCCCTGGAGCATCCCTGAGGCCACGTGTGTCCCACAGGAGCTGACCACCGTGCGTGTGCAGGACCCTCGCGTGCAGAACGAAGGCTCCTGGAATTCCTATGTGGATTATAAGATCTTCCTCCACGTGAGTTGGGGCTGAGGGACAGGAGGCTGAGCTGCAGAGCTCAGCTGTGAGCCTCAGGAGTGGAGTTTTCCACCGTGTGGGCATGGAAGGAGCTGGGAAAACACAGCTCATCCCTCCCTGTGTTGGGTGTGAGATGCAGCACTGAGGGATCCCTTAGGCACTGGGCTTGGGGGAGGCAGTACAGGGGATATCCTGCCTTCCTCTTCCTCACTGCCCTCCCAGTGCCATGGATCATTGCCCTGGTGGGTGGGTTGTTTTGCAGACCAACAGCAAGGCCTTCACTGCCAAGACCTCGTGCGTGCGGCGCCGCTACCGTGAGTTCGTGTGGCTCAGGAGGCAACTCCAGAAGAATGCTGGATTGGTGTAAGTATTCCTTGCTCTCCTTCCTCTTCTCCCCTTCTTTCCCAATGCCCTGGGAGCTCAGGATAGACATGGAGAGAAACCTCAGCAAGGGAAATGGGATATGTGAGCTCTCAGGATCCCTGCACAAAGCAGGGCCCTGGCAGCTGCTGGCACAGTGTCCCTCTCCATGTGCTGGCACTGGTGGGATGTGACCCAGAGCTCTGTCTGTGCTCCATCCCTGCAGACCTGTCCCAGAGCTGCCTGGAAAATCCACCTTCTTCGTGGGCAGCACAGATGAGTTCATTGAGAAGAGGAGACAAGGCTTGCAGCAGTTCCTGGAGAAGTGAGTAGAGGTTCTGTGAGAGCTGGAGGGAGGGAGTGGACACACAGCTCAGGGGTTGTGGCTGTGAGGTGACAGCAGAGCTGTCAGTGTCACAGTGTCAATGCTCAACGTGCTCCTGCCCCACTCACCCACCTCTCTCCGTGCCCAGGGTGGTGCAGAACGTGGTGCTGCTCTCCGACAGCCGATTGCACCTCTTCCTGCAGAGCCAGCTCTCTGTCCCTGACATCGAGGCCTGTGTGCAGGGCCAGGGCACACAGACAGTGACAGAGGCCATCCTGCACTATGCCATGTCCAACTGTGGCTGGGTGCAGGAGGAGGAGAGTCGTCCTGCATCCCTGCCTGGAGGGGACCTGCGCCACAGGTAACGCCCAGGGGAGGGAGGAGCAGCCCAGAGCAGTCCTGGATCCTTGGTGTGCATCCCAGGGCAGCCCTGGATCCTTGTTGTTTAGCCCAGGGCAGTCCCAGCTCCTTGCTCTGCATCCCAGAGCAGTTACAGCTTCTTGATGTGCATCTCAGGGCAGTCCTGGATCCCTGGTGTGTATCCCAGGATACTTGT